ACTTGATGCTCTGACCTACCCTAAATAGCTGGACTTGTTTCACTTGGGGAAATTATATATTTATATATATGACCTATTATGTTACTAGAATACTTCAGCAGAGATGTTGCAGCTCCAACTTGCATGATAATTCTTTTGAAAGGCTAATCAGAAGAGATACACCATCAAGATTATGTGCTTTAAAAATACAGTTCTAGGCAGCATTGTCAAAACTGGGCAACAAAAAATAACCAGTTGTGATTAATCAGATCATATACATCCTCGTACTCATCAGTTTTCAATGATCTTAATTCAGATCAAAGCTTAGGCTGCAGAGATTAACTTTGCACCAGTGTCTGAAAATCAAAAACCTTTCTCCAGATCATATAAAATTGATGCTCATGAGGTGCCTTACTTACTGAGCACACGCTTGAGAATTTCAGCTTAAGTTCCTTTTTAAGGATGTTCCCCAGGGCCTTCCTGCCTTTGCTTACTCAGGTGTAGCTAACAGGCTAAGAACAATATCTCATTCTCATTTAAGTGGTCTTTACACTACAGGGACCAGCTGATGGTCTCCTACATGTCCAGGAGATGAACCAAATAGATGATTTTAAAAATAAAACCAGCTCCATGTGCTACATGCGGAGTAGAAGGCAGTGGCAGGGTATGATGATCATTGTGCTGGGTTACCCCTGTCTCTTTCCATTAAGCTAGCTGAAATTCTTTGGGCTGGAAGTGAAGGTTCATTTCATGATACACACCATATCATGAAACAAGAAGACCCAGTGAAACCCATCTTTGGTAAAGATATAGGAGGTTTTAGGAACTGCATGTTGGACATAACTAAACAGAAAATGTTAATTTCCATGAGCGTCTATTCAAATACTTTCATGGCTGTTGAGATAAAATGTAAATGAAGACACTAGATGACTTTAGAAGAGAATAAAATATGTTTTAAATCAGAGATACTCCTCAATGCTTTTCAAGCATGGTGATGTATTCCGCAGTAGTGTGGCAACTGCAGGCATTACTCTGCTTACAGCTTTAGAAGAGATGAAAGATATGTGCTAAAGTATTGGGGCAGGAGTGTGCATGTATGCTATAAAATATCTTCTGATCTTGTCTTCTGGTCTTGCAGTCATTATGTAAGGAATCTCCCCTTCACTGGGACTTCTGTCTGGAGAAGGCACATTTGCAGTGAAATGTCTTTATTTGTCTGTCTGTTCAGTTGAATGGTCATGCTGGGGCTCTAGCACTGGGGCTAGGGCCATTGCTCTTTTGAATCTCTTTGCATGGCTACTTTGTACTTTTGGAAAGCGAAGGGATATATAGCTTTAGCTCTTGTTTCTTTTTCTTTCATACCCCCCTCCCGCCCCCCCCCCATGTTTCCATGACCAAATTTGCAATCAGAGCCCAGTGTTTCCAGATTTCCTTTGATAGCTTTGAAGAGCAGCATGGTGCAAAATTTTACCTTTCCCTCTTTTTCCTTTTTAACAGTGCCTCATTGTACGTTAGAAGCATCTCTCATTATGATTAAAGTAGCTAGGTCACTCTGTCTGCTTTGGATATGCACATGGCACTGCCTGAACCTCAGCTATTCTCTTTGTGCAATTCTGCTAACGAAAAGCTAGCCATAGAAGATGGTTCGTACTTGTAAATCCATGGCACAGGATATTACCCTATTGTTTTCTGTCTGCTGTCACTGAGGTCACTGTTTTGGCACAGAGTGAGACATGAACAGCTGCAGAAATCCAGTGATAGCTCTGCTTTTTCTTTTGGAAGGATGAATATGGAAATAAGTGTCAGGAAAAGGAAATTGCCAGCCATGCTCTCTGTCCTGGCTGCTTGCTTGTGGGAAAGGGTTGGCAGGTGACTCCTATTTCTTCCATGGAGGATGGGAGTATAATTTTATTCTATTTTTTTTTTCCTATCTGCTATGCCTCTGCTCAGAAAAAAATGCCATAAAATATTTTCAAATGTGATTATTGACCTCACTCTCAGTTCGGGTCTGGCCTTTATCTCATTCCATGGTTCTGTGAAGGCTGCTAATTTTGAAGACTATCTCCAGAAGCTGCACTGAGAAGCCATTTCTGCTCCTTTGGCTAGGGAGTGAAGGCTGAGCTTCACAAGCAGGGGCACTAAAGAGTAACCATCTCACCTGGTCCTGATGATGCCTTGTGTCCACTGTGCGGCTAAATTCATGTGCTAACATTCATTTGATGTACAGGAGTTATGAACGTAAGGGACAGGTAGGGTACATAGCCTGAGAAACTGTATATACATGTGTGAGCGAACATGTTATTGTATGGGCTCCCTGTGTGGGCACTGACCCTGATAAACTTCTGTTGGTAAAATGATCTTCAAAGAGCAGTTCAAAGCTAGCTTGTTATGACAGACATCATGGGGAGGAAGAAGGTGACTGCTTATCACCTGTGTTCTGTGTGGAAATCCAGCTCTGCACAAAGCTGGGGCCAGGAAGGACAGCACTTGCACAGAGCATGTTGGTCACAGGAAAGACTGCTTTTTCAAAGCTTTGTCTTCACACCTTTACAATCCAAGTAAAATGGGGAAATAAATCACTGTGCACAATTGTCATTATCCCTCTCCAAGCACCATCCAAGGTGTTTAAACATAGCTAAACCACTGTATTTTCTCTGAATAAGCACTCAAATTCCACAAATAAATTGCTAGGCCCTGGTATCACAGGAATGATTTATAAGCCAATTACAGTGGGAATCTTACTCTCTCTTGTTGCTCTTACAGGTTATGGGTCTATTAGATATTTTACTCCTGCAGGAACACATCCTCATTCCACCATAAAATGTCTGAACTTGGCACACTGGGATTCTTTCTGTCTTGTCTTGTAAAATGTCTGGTTTGTGGAAAAACCTTGAGAATCATTCTGTCAAAGGCCAGGTCTGTCATTTTTGTAATGTTTTGTTTCTTTCTACTGCTGAGGGCATTAGCAAGAAGGCAGACAGTTCCTTCCTAGTAAATAATCTTCACCATTTGTCTTCTCATCAGACTTGTGATGTGTAGATGATGTTCATGGTAGAGCTGGGTCTGCAAATTATTAACCATTGATGAAGCGATATCCTTGAGCCTTTAGTTTGACAGCACTGGTAATGGGTCTCCAGCAGGGACCATAAGCTGACACTTTGTGAAGAATAAGAACAGGATGAGCATGCTTAATCTTCCTCCATAATATTTTCTACTCTCTGAGCATGTTCAGCCCAGGATTCCCCAGAACTGATGTGATTCTCAGTAAGCCACAGTAGGTTCCTCTTGAAGTTGCTAGTCCAGTCTGTCCTGGAACATCAACAATTCCAGCACCATTCTGAACAAGGCATATTAGCTTTTAGAGTGAAACCTGCTATCTTTTACAATGGTGCAAACCCAGAGTTACTCTAAAGTCTTTAGCTAAGTCATTTTTTATCAGTTAAATCAGAACAAGGAAGAGAATTTGACCAAGGCAGTTAATGAGTAGAAAAGAGGAAAATCAGGGGGAACCAGTTTTATGATTATGCCTCCAAAGTCTTGCACCACTTTAGCAATGCAAATTAGTGCATTTTGATTCTCTTGTTAATATAGACTTTTCCACTCCTGCAGGTTATTTATTTCAATATAAGCCAGAAAGGGAATCCAGCCCTAGGGTTTTGTATCATCCTTGAATCTGCTCCTTCTCCTTTTTTGCAAATTAGAATAGCAGTGTCAGAGTCTTGAATAACATTATGTTTTTCTACTCCTATAAGCTACAGTCATCTTCTCTAGCCATAGGGGAATAGAAGCAAGAAGAGAAACAAAATCCAATCCCAGTGGTGATGTAAAACCCCAGGCATATATAAGTACCAGGTTTTGGTATACTCATGCCCAGCTTTTTTCATTTCCTGGATGTGGCTCTTGGCATGCTGGAGTTGTTTGCATTAAGTGATGTACATTGAACAAGCCTTTTCCTCAGAATGCCTGACTCTCCTTGTTGCTTCTCTCCTCACATTTTGATTATTTAACATAATACAAGCAGCACTGCAATAATTAGGACACCATATGGCATTCAGCATTGGTGGAATGGGTAAGTAGTCAGAAAGAATGAAATAAGCAGTGCTACTGACATGACCTGAAGATGACTAATGTCAGTGTGCACTCATATAACAGATAAACACTAAGTAAGTTAAATGTGTGCACAAGCTGTACTTGGGGAACTTATTTAGCTTTGTTCTCATTCCAGGTGAATTAGCACCACAGGTTAGAAGGGTGCATTGAACACATTTACAGAGATGAATGCTCTTCATGGTGCATTTCTCTGAAGATGATCTTTATTATATTTGGCTTCCCTCAGCTGGGTGATAAGTTCTTTTAATATTTGCCTGCCTATTATTGTATTGCCATTTACTAATTATAATGAGTATTTAGTGTTTTCAATTATTTGCTGCTTCATTAAAAACACAACAGTCATTGGAGCCATTAAGGGATTCTTTGTCAATCCATTAAGTAACAAAAAGAATCAGAGATCATGTATGATCAATGAGATTTTGCTGGCCTGGCTGTCAGCTGGGAATGTGAGCAGATCTTACCCTCTAGCCATCATAGTCATGCTAACAAAAGCTTGGAGGCACATGGCAAAATGCAGATAGTCAAATGTTCTTGGTTTGTGATTCTGGAGAAATATTATAGCTGGCTTGGAGAAGAGTCTTCTGGTAATGTAAACTGCATGTCCTTTATGGATGGTTGCTCATATATGCAGAGTGTCAAGAATTTTAGTGTAGAAAACCCCATTCAGTATTTTCTCCCTGCTAATGTTTCCTTCCAATTGAAATGCTTCAGCTACTTAGATGAAAATTGTCTTTCAAACTAAATAGCTGGCTTCATATTTTTGCTAAGCATTTTTTAATGATGTGGAATAGGCCTGATGCAGGTGAAAGAAGGAAGAACAAGTTGTGCAGGAAAAGTTAGTGGGTGACCTTGCGGGATGTCAGTTTCTCCACAAGAAGCCCCAGGACATTCGTTTTTTTTTGTTTCTATAGAGCAGATGCAGAGCAACCAACCCCTTTTTTCCTGAGGACAAATCACTTCCAAGTACTGTCTGGATGAGCATGAAGAATGCGAATATGAATACAGACAATTATGATGGAGTAGAGGCCTTGTAAATTTATACCCAAACTTACCCCCTGGTAACTCATTCATCTGCCTGTCTTGACAAGGATGCATGTGAAATAGTGGGACAATAAAAGATTTTGTTATGCTGAAAGATGTTAATAGCTGGCCTCAGGGTGAGCTGGGTTTCCAAGACAATCACAAATAATGCAGATAACACTGGGGAGGCTCAGGAGAATGAATACTTAAACCTTTATTTTGTAAAATAGAGAGGCATGCTCTATCTCAGTGAGGGTTGTCTACACGTATAAGTTTTACAAGATCTATTTTTATGGAAAAGTCCTTCATGAGACAGGGTATCTGAACTGCTGGCTACACACATGGAAATATCCAGCAAAGGTAATTATGGGTGACTGCCTCAGCGAGTGAAGGTCTAAAGACATGTCAGAGGGCACTGGGAATCAGCCCCTTCTGCACCTCTTGCAACACAGCATTCTGCCTGTGTGTCTGCAGCAGCACACTTGGAACAAAAGGAGATCTTGACAAAGAAATATTGCATGTAACTACTTTGGCAGCCTTTGGATGTCAGAGATGTGCTTCAAAAAAGTTTTCTTAAAATTCAGTCTTTTGGAAAGGAGGTTATAATACAGATCTGTCCTCAGCACACATCTGGTGAGGGAGATTTTCTGTCCTTTTCTGTCTCCTTTTCACTGTTATCTCTACACAACCTGTTGTCTTACAGGGAAGACCCTATCAGCTTGGAGTCTATGTTCATAGGGCTGTGGATGTTTTCTGATAGCTCCTCAGTCTGGATCTGGGTCAGCTTGGTTCTGTCTGAAAATAGGGTCCTTTCCAAGGTAATGCTTTTGTGAAAAGACTAAGGAATAAACAGCTGGAATGGATCCACTCCTATGTACACAGACAAACATACGAAGCGATACAATAGAAACTGAGCCATCGGTCAGCTGCCTAAGCTCAGTTGAGAAGAATTCTATTCAGATTTCAGCAGGACACACGGAAGGTTTGCTCCATGTGCAGCTGTATACTACAAGCTAAAAAAACCTTTCCAGAGCCTACACCACAACTGTTCTCTGACAGAGGAAGAAATCAAGGATATCCAGAGGGAAAATGGACAGATCCTATGAAGTGCTTACTTGCGCCTCAGTTTGGACCTCTGATAGTGACAAAATGACAGGTAAGCTTGCAACAAACTTGAACTTTCTAGGGCAGTGCTAGTTGTCACAGCTGAGACCCACTTATGTGAATGAGGCAGACTCGTGACAACATATCAGAAACTTCGAAAGGATAAACACACTCAGAAATGCCAGTCCCAAAAGTTGCACAAGTTACTAACAGATGTGGAACTGTGAACATTTTGGTCTTGGTATGCATAATATAAATATAGCCATTTATTTATTTTAGCTTTCGTGTTCTTCCTGCCCTTCTGTTCTCAAAGATAGCTTAGATCAAGTCACTTAAGTCCATGTTGAAACAAAATGTACCTCTGTGAATAATACCTATGAAAACTCAGAGTGACATGGTAATAAAACCATGAAGGTTTGGGTTCCTTCAGGGAAATCCAGTTGTACTCACTTTGTTGTCAGAATAATGAGGTCTTTATTTTGTGGTCATGGAGTTAATGCATTTGATGCAGGTAGATGATTTCCAAGTCATAGTGACAAGTCAGAGGGACCTCTTTGGAAGGAGAGAAGAATTAAAACTTTCTAAAAAAGCTGCTGGTTTTTACCTAACCCATGACACACCATTATGGATTAAGTGTCTGTAAAACGTTGATGCTCTGCAGTCCCATACAATGCTGGAGAGAAAACAAACCATTCCCCAGCATAGCCTTAAGCCTGTTGTTCTTAATAATTACCCTGGATAGTGTATACAATTTTCTGTAGCATAGATTCAGACAGCAGTTGAGTGCATACGTCCTTTGAATTGTTGATCCTATAGGGGTTAATAGGTATGTAATTAGTGATGTCATGTTTAGTTTTTATGTATTTGGTGATTTTGGCTTCCGTTTTCATTATCTCTGATGAATATGGGCAGATCCAAATGCTATTTGTAATGAAATATCAGAAGTATTTTGGCCCATGTAGGGGTCAGAGAAAGCTTTCACTGCCCTTATCATTTCAATTTTTGTCTGTACTGAGAATATTACAATATTACATCACCATGCCAGATATGTTGTGTTGGCTGATTCCAGATGGCAAGTTGCTGGAAATGACTTGTTTCTCTGGAAGAGAATGTATTAACAGTTTTGGACAAAGCAGTGATGAACTGGATAAGCACAAATGTACTTAGGGTTGAAGTTTCAGATCAGGTGAAAGATTTTCAGGAAATTCACTGAAGGTTCCTTGTGCTTCAGGGATCCATAGAGGGATAACTTAAGCAAAAAGTGGCAGTCACACTGAGAAACAGATGCCATCTTTTGGAGCAGGGCAAGCAAAGCACAAAATGATGCAGGAAAGAATCTAATGGGCGATGGACAGTTGTTTTCAAGATTTTTGAGTGTGCAATATTTCTAAAGTCATGCTTAGTCACGAGCGATCTCTTCCCATTACTGAACAAAGTGAGCATTAGTGATGCCGTGTTCTTCCATCCAAGGAAGGAGACATGATAATCACCCATCTCAAACAACAAACATGAGATGCATTACGAAATAGGTGAGCTCAAGTCAGATTGCTGAATATGCAGCAACTTACAGTGTAAAGTGAAGTGCTTGTGTATCCCTCTAAATGAGCTGAGGGAAGGTAGGTCCCTATGGCAAAGTTGGGGGCCTTTTATCATGTCCCCACTCTGACCCCCCACTTCCTCCTCTCCTGGGCATTTACTGTGAGATGTGAGCAAATGACGACTTTCCACTGGAGTTAGGAGAGAGATACATCTTATTACAGGCACTATGAGAATCATGGTAGGAACTGCAGAAGGAAGGGAGAAGGGGGTAAGATGTGTGGAGCCCACTGAGGAGAGATTAACAGAATGAAGAGACTGCAGAAACTAAGATTATACTGAAAAACAACTGTGTGAGATTGATCTCATCTCACTTCAGGTATCTAATCATCTGATCTGATTAGATTTTTACTTTAGCATAAAATGAATCATAGTCTAAAAACATTCCTTTCTCTCCACTGACTGTAGTCAGTGTCTAGTGCAGATGAAGTTGTCTGAACTGCAGCTATCTGTGTCTGGTGAGCTGGATCTGGCCCCATATGAGTGAGGGTAAATTTGCCTGTGCAAATCCCAGTTTGAGCATTTGGGTATTGCTTCCTCTTTCAGAACAACCTGCCTGTGTAGCCATTTCTACACTCCCAGCAGACTAATTATTACAAAAATTCTCTGTCATTGCTTTGCAACGGTCCATAGCTTAACTAATTTAAAAATGCAAATGAATGCCAAATTGCAGTTGAATCTGAACCAGTTGAATCCTTCTCTCTCTCCCCCCCCCCCCCTTTTTTTTTCTTTCTTTTCCTCTGAGGGGGAAAGAAAGACACATTAAATACTGATGGAGAAAATCAATCTTTTAGATTTGAGGTAATTTTGAATTAGGTCCCAGTGCCAGGGATAGTGACATCATCAGAGTTGCTCAATTGATCCACGGTTTTAGGAGAAACAGCTTGGACTTGATCCTCCCTTTGTCCTTACAGAGAGAAGTAAATGCTGCAGTCTTCAGCTCTTTTCACTGGCAAACTTTGGTACTCAAATGATCTCAAATGTCAGGCAGATGCATTCAGGAAGAACATAAGCAAATGCATGAGCTAAAACACATCCCCTTGTACTGCCATTGTCCTTAGGCATTAAGCTGGAGCTCTGTTTTGCAGTCATGTGTGTGGTGTGTCCAGGCGGTTCTGAAGAATCAGCTGAAGGGGTGTTGCCTCTTTAGCATCTGTAATTAGCTGGTTAACAGTAGTTAAGCTGTTGGTACATTCAGACTCTATAGCACCAGTCAAGATTGCCTCATCATCTCATGGTCCCCATCTGTCTTTACCTGCTGACATTAACTTTTCTCTGAGACTCATTCCTTTGAGGAAGAGGCTATGCTATAGCTATGTATTTGAGTGGGCATGAACAGTTTCTAGCACCACGATTTGTGGTCTTTAGCTGCAGGATCACATAGACAGAAGTAATAACCATGGACAGCATATGGCATGGAAGTCTGGTAATCTGAACTGCTTACTACCCCCTTGACTGTAGATCCCCTTGGTGTGTAGCTGAGTTAAGTACCCAGAGAAGAATACCTGAAACAGGTCTCTGTGCTGCAGGGTTAAGGATAATAGACCTTCTTAGGGATTCATTCTCAGCTCATACGTTGATAATAACCTTCATGATAAATGACATTTTGCTGAGGGAAGCATAGTGGATTACGTGAATCACCCTAGAGGGCAGCTGTTGGCAGCTGTATATGCAGGACTACATTGGTGTTCACAAAGCATTTTTCCTATTTTGCAAATTGATGCTGAGATGAAATTTCATGAGTTTTTGTTGACACTTGCATACAGCAAACAGATTTCTGAATGGGTTTTGCATAGATGATCGAAATTCTAACTCTAATCCCCACTGTGTTCATCAGTCTTGTACAATCCCGTGATGTTTGCTGGTCTGATGTGTGATGATGTAAACATGAGTCTTTGGAGCTGTAAACCCCCTTGTTGCAAATACTCACCCATCTCTCCTCCTAAATCCCAGACCAGCACAGCGTGTGCGGGAAGGACTGGGTTTCAATTAGGATTCAAACATCATAATGATAGAGTCCTCCTAATCCTTTCACAAAGGTATGCGTAGTTAATCAAACTGTACTGCCTCAGGCTCTGGATAGCTTTGCTTGCCATCTGCTTAGTGCCAGATCTCTTGGGACACATTCACAGGTTAAGGATGTACAGTGTGCTTCCAGCCCTTGATCTTGGCTGCGAGGCAGATGTAGCTGTTGCATTGCCTACTGTGACCTCTTCTGGGAGGAAGTGGAGTCCCTGCCCTTCTGTGCAGAAAAACATTAAGCATATTGATCTGCGTGCAAACATTTTTGTGAGAAAGCACAGACTGTTTTCTACGTGAACCAACTGCATTCAAAGAGGGAGGAACGGGGAAATAGGAGCAAGAAAGAATTTTTCTTGCCTGCATTTGCCCTGAGGGGATTTCTTTTTCTACCCTGGGTTGCCTTGGGGATAGTAGCTAGATGTTGGCTATGTCAGCCCAAGGTTTTCTGGCTGTCTGTTTCCTCTGAGCACGGCAGTCCATGCTCACAAAAACAGTTGTCTAGTGGAGTTATGTTTTAGCGGTGCTCTGTTATCCTGTGCTCCTGAGGGAGAGAAGTCATTGAAAAACCTGGGTCTCTAGCAGCAAGCTGACAGATTTTGTAAACTAAGCAAGAAGTTTTTGAGGTTTTTCTGTGTATGCCTTTTAAAGCCCTCAGGAGCATCTAGGGACTGTAGCGACTGGAGATAACCATCACACAGTGAAGGCATGGCCTTAAGAATTTTCCCAGATAATCCTCTGGCTTCATGTCCAGATGGAAGGTGACAGAGGAGCTATTTTACAGGCTGCAGATATCATAATGGCCTAGTGCTAGTCGCACTAGAGATTTGCATTATCAGTGATGCTTTTGCAGGAGCCTTTATAGGCACATACGGGCAGTCTTAATTTTGGATGTGT